TAATAGCACTTCTTAATGTTAGTTTTGATGTTTGTCAATCCAATACATGCCCTCATAATATCACTATATATTTATCAGTTTTTACAACCCCCTATCAGATTAAATGTTACAATAAATGAGAAAATAATTGACATAAAAAAAGGCAATTATAGATTTAAAAGTATCCATTTGCAAAAATGTCACTAATTATAGATTTATAAAACTTATATCTTAAAATTTACAACCTTAAAAAATATTTTAACCCCTAAAACCCCTTAAACATTCAAAACTAAACTCTAATACAGTATAGTTAACCCAAACATAAATTATATAATGAAAAAAATAATTTTTAAAAAATGGTATTTTTGCAAAAGTTTTGAAAAAATGGCATTTTTGAAAAATAGTATTTGCAAAGTGATATTTTTTGAAATTTCTATTAAAAGAAATATTTGTTTCGTGTTGGTCCTGTTAGACAGAGGTTTTTGCATGGATTTTAATCATAATTTAATTACTACTGCTTCAATTTTCCTAGACCAATGGAATTAGGGCTTCTAACATAGATCTTTTTCATTGGTTAAGCTTTAACAACACCTAATTAGAGTTATTATTAATCATGCATAGTCTTGAAAGAGAAGACATATTAAATTATTTTTCTGGTGGGAAGAGTTGAGGAATTAAAAGTATGAAAGAACTGAAAAGATGGTCCACATAAACACAACAAAACCTGCACTTTTATTTATCTCCACATGCCTTATGTCTCATTACCAGATTCTTTGTTTCCCACAGCTGTGTTGCACTTTATGATGATGTTCATTTCTTATTTATCAAATAGTATTAATAATATCAATGAAGAATAGATTTGCTATATTGAACAAAATTTTCGAGAGGTTGATAAATGTTATGCGTGACATCTTTAGAATTTGATTTTTTTTTTCTTAACGTTTAATGGTAATTTTATTAAGACCTAAAAACGGTTGAAGAAAATACAAAGTTTCAAGTAAAACACCAATAAATATTATCCATCACGAGGAACAAAGCTTAAAGTTTGCGAATTTTAATATCTCTCACCTTAAGATGATAATCAATATCACCATCATGACATCTCAACTTGGTCATCATATGTTCTCATGTGTAATAGTGGACTCTGCCTCTATGAAACCACGAATTCTCAAAACTTAAATTCCAAGCTTCATAGTTCGGCAAAACAATGGCACACTTTGTATCACTAGAAGTTATCTAGAGATGGCGGTGTCGAAAAGCTTGTAAAGGCCTCGATAGAAGCCAAATAAAAAATCAGACCATGAACCAGTCTACTAAGTAGTAACAAAGAGCGAATGATGATCTATTTCGGAAAAACTCCAGGGTATAATCCAACATAACCACGATGTGGAACTCACAAACAGATTCATAGCCAAAATGTTAGCCCAAAAAAATTATGACCCATAGTGATACAGCGCATAATTGGATTATTTCCATTTATTTGTATTTTTAATATATTGATATTTTTAATGTTTATGTTTTAGAGTTTCTAGGATATTCCAAAAATTTCTAGGGTTTTTTAAATTTTCTTATAAATAGCCTATTAAGACCTCTTTTTGTATTCAGTTGATTGTTGATTAATAAAGAGCTTTTGTTTTGAGAGAGATTATTC